GGAAACAGGATTTCCACAGCTCTTGGCAAACTTAGCTTGCTCTTCTTATTCTTTGTCTTATTTCTGCTGTTACCAACTCAGCTTTCTCCTGCCTCCTCCAAAGTAATTACCTTCCTGTTAACCTTTGGCATTATCCTGTTTATTTCCATTTAAGCACAGCTGTCATCTGTTGATTTTTAATTTCTATTTTTATTAAATTTATGTTATTATCTGTTAGATTTGTTTATTTTAATTTTTATTTAAATTTATATGTTTTAAAGAATTTTCTAAGAGTTACACATGTATTCACATGTTCTATTTTCAACTGTCTTTTTGTGTGTTTGTATGTGTATGTACATGTCACTCTCTACCTTACTTTCTGAGAGAGTGCATCTCACTGAGCCTGATGCATACTGATTCAGCTAGGCTGGCTGGCAACCCCCAGAGAGCTTCCTGTGTGTGCTTCTCCAGCACTGAGATTTTTATGTGCATGTTCAGTTGTGTGGCAAGTGTTTTACCACCGGAATCTACCCCAATGCTATCTTTCTTTTTTACTATATTGGAAGCTCAAGATGGGCATGCCTGTAGTATACATGTCCAGGAGGTTGAGGCAAAAGGACTGTTGGGAGTTTGACACCAGGATGGGCTACATAAATAAGAACCTACCTAAAATAAAACACTGTATTCCCGTGGTCTGGAATAGAGTCACCACACAGAAAGCACTTGGTAAACACTGTTGATTGAAAGAATGAACCACCTTCTGTGGGTAGATGAAGGTGGAGGCAATTCCTCAGTGAATATAAGAAACACTAAGTAGGAGAGCATATGCCTTCAGTCCATTTCATTGGCAAAAGTACCCTAGAATTATTTAGAAGAATTTGATGCACAAACTGAGAAAAAAAAATCATGGCACTAAAATCCTGATTCTGAAATATTAAAATATGCAGGTCTGAATGCTTAGCCCTAAGTTCAAGACTCCTACCCCCAAATAAATGAATAAACATTGCTGAAATACAAGACATTACCTGGAATTAAGAATATTGCAAAAGTCAGGAATTTTGATCAAGAAGAAATGTTAAAGTCATTTGGTCCTCCCAGACATTTGGTATATGGGCTAAAGTTTCCATATAGATGCCACATTTCATGAGATTTACCACAAAAGCATGGGTTGCCAATACTGACAGAAAGCTGAGTTGAACTTTCCAATACATAAAAACACAAAATAACATGGGTTGATACGTTACAAAAAGCACGTGAAGCCATTCATAAAAATGTTAGGACCTGGGTTTGTGACGACCCTTAGGAGGAGGTAGGTCTTGACTGGAAAAGAGGGGGAGTCTTTTCCATGTTTGTCATTTCTTGTTTCTACATCTAGGCTCTGTTTTCCCGGGAGTAGTCACAGTGAAAATTCATTAAGGTGACCACTTTCTGTGTGTTTTCTCGCAATAAATTGTTTACTTAAAGTCCAGCCAAGTACGGACTGCAAACCTTTAAACCCCACACTCAGCAGAAAGGGAGGGGGATAATGATCAAGAGTTCAACATCACAGAGTTTCCACAAGAGTTCAGCGTCATAGAGTTTCCAACCTGGGCCAAATGATAACTTTTCTCAAAAGAAAAACAAAAATAAAGTCTAAATATGTCCAGAACATTTAGGAGTTTGAGGGGGGAAGATATGAGGACAGCTTTTAAAATAACTGACAGTCATCTTCAACAGCACAGGAAAGACTCCCTCTCTTCCACCTGAGACAGATTCATTCTGCTCTTGTCACACCTATAAGAATCCCTGCCAGCACAAGAAACTAATCTTTATTTTACCAATTGATGCAGACAAAAATGGAAGCCTGGGGAGGTCAATAAGTACAGAAAAGCCTCACAGGCAATAGAAAGTAGAGAGACAGTCTGAAAACAAACAAACAAACAAACAAACAATTTTTAACTGTAAGAAGTGTCTCACCCTGTACCCAGAAACATGCATAACAAGATCCAAACAGTGAGTTAGAACATTTTATATTTAGGACTCTTCCTCCAAGCAAATTCTTCCTAAACAGTATCAAGAAATAAAGGGAGGAACTCTATAGGAGCAGGTAATGACTGAGCTGCTGGTTCCCCAGCAGATAATTTACAGCAGGATCATCTCTACCTTTGCTGAGGCTAGTCAATAAGTGGATCAAACCCTTCTCCTGTCCCGGTGCCCACCCCTCTGCTTTTCCACAGGCTAGCTGCCTGTGAGCACAAAGCATCCCTCCGAAGGATCTACACATGGTTGCTAGAGCCAGCTACACAGGTATTTAAATTGGATTCAGACTGGTTGTACAGCTCTTTCTGATTTCTCCCAAAACTGAATAAATCTTCCCCACCAAAGAGAAGCAGTTTCTTTCAACTCAATCTTTCTCTGTGCACTCTCTTCCAGAGTTCAGTCTTTCTTGACTCTGTCAAAGGTGTCACATGGTCAGAACTCCTGTCACAGACATCTGAGCTTTCTCAATCCTACTTCTCTTCTTTAGCAATTCTCCAGTTTGATAAGCATCCTAACTCTGGATCTCAAATGCTTTTGTCCAATCTGAACCCAGCAAGTTTGCCTGATGCCTGAATTCCTACCTGTGGGCATCAGTGCTTGAAAGAGAAACAGTCCGAGTGTGAGCGACATAGGACATGTTGGAACTGTTTCCACTTTGAGATTCCTCCAGACTGCCTTGCAGAACCTGAAGGAGGCCCTTTCAAAGCCCCTACACAGAGTGAGTGTCTCTGCAATCGACAGAATAACAGCCTATTAAAACCAATTGTCTCCATTTGACTACATGTTTCCTTATGTCTGAATCTGCAAGCATGCTAGAGCAATAGTATCCAGTGTTTGGTTTCCTGAGCACACAACATTCTGCTTTGGAAAGCCTCAATCTGATGGAGGCTGAAACCAAATACTTCAACCTGCAATTTACTTCAGAGTTAGGAGTCTGTCTCTTCTTTTCATCTGTCTGACAGGATATTGGAGGAAGCAAATCAAAGGGCTATAATGGCTCCCATTTCCAGGTAATTGTCTTTGCATGGCTGTCCTGATACACACTGTGCCCAAAGCACAGCCATCAGTGCTAGTGTCCCCATCTTGAGTGCAATCCCCGTGTCTTAAGAAGATGACACACAGAGACACAGCTGTACCTTCAGTGTGGCTCTCACCATTTCCCTTCACTTTCACAGAGCAGGTGGAGGCTGGCTGGGTTTCTGATGGGGCTTCCAGGTGTGGGTGGCTCGACTCCTGCCTGGCTTTGCTCTTCTGACACTCTGTGTTGCTAGCTCTGCAACATGGCTGGTCCCTCCGTGAGGGATCATCCCCTTTCTCCATCTCTCTCAGTAGGGCCGTTCTGCCCCAGGGAAGGGTTCAGACCTTCAGCCTTCTCTCTTCTGGTGCTATTTTGTCGACCTGTCTGTAAGATGTGCTCAGAGGCCTGCTGCCTTTATAATGATTTAAGTGTTTAACCGTTTTGGGGAGGTTTGTACCCAAATCACACTGGCAATTATGGTTCTGAAATCCGACCAAGCAGCGTGCACCAGAGTACAACTATTAAATATCGAAACTAGAGGAAAGTTTTCTAGAGGAGAAGCAAAGAGGCAAAAGTAAATTAAATACTGAAGACGATTAAGAGAATTTGACAAGAAAAAGAGAATATGCTTCCAGCAAGATATATAACTACAGCATAGATACAACATTAATGAAAACGATCGCTGAGAAAAAGAAGTTTCTTCTTCCAGATACGCTCACCTCTTACAGTACAGGGCATGTCCAGGATTCACCAGTAATCGCTCTCTATGGTCAATGGTGATAAATCCAGATGAAAAGAAGGATACTGAAATTAAGACGTAGCAAGGATCTCTGGTGGTCTTCGGAGAGGCTTCCAAATTATTCCGTGGGCTGGGTCAAAATGCAAGGCGCACAAAGTGCACTGAGTGGTTTGGTTTTGTTTTCCTTTAAAGCGTATTTTCCACCGAAGAGTTCAATCAAATTTGAAAATATCAAAAAACATTGTGGAAGAGTTATGAATAGTCAGAAGGGATTCGGTCAAAACACCTCCATAGTCTTCATTCCCTTGTATGCTTAATCGGTAAGCAGGCTAGACTCTGGTTTCGCTCACACAGTCTAAAGGACTAAAAATTTTGAAACTCACCAATTCAGAGGAGAAGATTGAAAATGGCATCTTTTGAAGACTGGAAGTAAGGTCCCTTCATCACTGAGATTCCCATTCCCGGTGACATTCATTTCTGGTCCTCCCTACAGCTTGCAGCCAAAGAAGCCCCTGGCAGTGCAGCCTTGGCTAAGCTGCCTTTCCTCAGGTTCTCTTCCAGGGAGCTGGAGCTCAGGTGTGGGGTGAAGGGCAGTCAAGTGATCTGCAGCCTAGGAAGATCTGTTTTTCCTCATCCTAGCCCCACAGTAAGTTAACCCCAGGAGAGCTGGGCTGTTGGAGAACAGTTTTGTGAGCTGTGTGATGACTGGCTGTTACCCACCTGGGAAGATAAAGTTGCTGGCCACACCAGATGCTCAGGTACCACTAGAAAGTTTCATTCATAGTTTCTCCCTTTCTAATAAAGCAACATGTATGTTTTAGTGTTTGACCTACTTGCAAAACAGTAGTTTGTTTGTTTTGTTTTGTTTTGTTTTTAGAAGGATTGTAAAATAAATGGGCTCCCTAGAGCACAGGTAAGCATCAATTCTAGAAGTTGAAAGTTCAGTGCTGATTGGATTTTACTGAAGTGTTTGCAACATGGTCTACCTACCTGGTATTTCTGCTGTATGTATAAGGCACTAACTGTGAATTCAGGTGCTTGTCTGTATTACCCAGAAATTGTAAGCCTCTTGCTCATTTATTTGCTACAGACCTGACCAGGAAAGAAAAAACAGTATTTTTCCCCTGTATTGCTTGATAATGTGAAAACCACTTGTTCACTCTTTGATTGTGATTGGAGAGAAAAAAAAAGAAGGAGAAAAAGAATAAAACCAAACCCAACATCTGGATGGAATTTAGTACATACCTTCTGGGACCCCCGGTTCCTGGAGATTTCAGCTAATGACTCCCTCTTCTGAGGCTGCAGAGGCTCAAGGACTCAGACTGGTGGGAAATGGTACTTTGATGACAGTTCCTGAAAGTTGGCTTAAATAGGTTGTCAGGATGCTGTAGCCATGACCCAACCCTGCTGAGGGGGAGGGGAGCAAACGCCAAGCAAGCATGCTCACTTGTGTCTGGGTGGACACCTAGCAAGGAGGCTATTGTCACTTGTGTCTCCAGACCTGCAAGTGCTCCTCTGTGTTGTGTGGTGGCTTTGCCTCATGCAGGTAAATTCCATGAACTTGCTCATGTCCTTGGGAGAGCTGTGCTTGGCTTGTGTTCTAGCTCATGTTTCTGGAAACCCATGGCACAGTTGAAAGAGGACCAGAGGATCAGAGGGCTGGTTTGGGATCTAACTGCCACTCCAGAATCTGTGATTTTCAGCTGGGTGATCTGCCCTCCCGGAGCCCCAGTGCTTTATCTGTAGTGTGAGCAAATAATACTCTCCGCAGAGATGCTGCCGAGTGAGTGGAGCTGGTGGGATCTGGTGGGGTCTGAGGCACAGGAACAGCTTCTGACCCCGGGAGCCCAGTGTGGGAAGGAGGACCTGGCTGAGAAGAGGAAGAGAGGAAGTCAGCATCATAGTGCCACCACTGGGGAGGCAGAGAAAGGAGGATCCTAAGGTACACAGCTGATTTTTGGCAGGTCTGGGCTACATGAGGTATGATCTTAAAAACAAACATACTAAAACAGGAAAAAAGGGAAGAGAAAAAAACAGAAGAGGAAGATTCAAAGATCCCAAAGGACTCAAAGATTACCCAGTGACTTATATCATGTGTCCAGGGAAGGAGTTGGATGGTTCCTAAGTCCTATGTCTTACTACAATTTTCTGGAAAGTGTTTGCTGTAAGGTGGAATGATAGGAGATATATGACACCGAAGACCAGAGTTACAGTGACCCTATAAACTTCAGAATCCTGTCAGGAAAGTGTTCAAACCAGTGAAGTGGCTACGTGCGCTGGTAAGGGAAAGAGAACTCAGAAAGTAAAAAGAAAATTAGATCTTGTATGTCCCATTCTGCACCAGTTCCTCCTGTAGGGATTTCTCCGGTGATGTAAGTCTCCATTCTTTCACTGCTGGACAGGGTGGTGCATGCATTTAAGCCAAGTGCTCAGAAGGCATGAGTTCCAGGGCAGACTTGGCTGTGTAGAAAGACCTCCGTCTCCAAAATAATTAAAATTAAATAATAAACAAGCACCGCCACACACTCGTGTTGGTTTTTTTGTTTTTGTTTTGTTTTGTTTTGTTTTTTTGTGAGAAAATGAGGCTCACTGAGTTAAGTGGAGTTTGTTAAGTTAGTTAAGTAACTGTAAGTCAGTGAATGAAGTTTGGAAGTCTGTGGTCTGCTCTTACTTCATCCGTTCCTGTTCAAACAGTGAAACTCTTCCATGAGACCCTCTTTCCCCTCCCGTGGGTCCCTTTCTAACGATCCTAGCCCACATTCATCTCTTCTTTGGGGCTTCTCTGGTGCTCATTGCTGGTACCATCACTTTCACACTATAGGTCTAACTTGTTTATTAACAGATATTTATTTACTGAACTTCCTCCACTGCCGAGATACAGAAACGAGGAAGATGCAGCCTGACCATCACAGCTAAAACCCCAGAGTGGAAGTAATTTATCAGCAGTCTATAAATACCTAATACACTCGAGGTCAAGTCACTCCCTCCCCTGTCCCTCAGTTTGGAACACTTCCGTTTCAGCTCTTACAGGGGGAAAACAAGATCCTTCTAAGGAATTATGTCAGCAACTAACCCATAAGAACCAATGATAAAACACAGAAGGGATAGCTGGCAGCTGACTTCTCCACCCTTCTTCCCATGTAGAGGAGGTTCGAGCCACGGTCCTGTCTCTGTGACAGTCATGATTATCTGGTGGCACATGCTAACTAGGCATGACTACAGAAATAGAACAATTATGTTCAGCCCAGGTTTAGCCAGTTATCCAAGAGCACATGCCCACCTGAGGACAGTGATAACTTTGTAACATGTAATGAAAGTCCACAGCTAAAGAGTTAACTGAGCAAATCCTGGTGCATAGAAAATATCTAACCTAACCTTTCATTTCTTCCTTCCCTCCTTTCTTCCTTCCTTCCTTTCTTTCTTTCTTTCTTTCTTTCTTTCTTTCTTTTTTTTCTTTCTTTCTTTCTTCCAGTCAGTTTTTTACCTAACGTGAGCAATTTCCAATCTCATTTTTAAGTTAGTGTCTTGCTCTGGGATACCAAGTCAATTCAGCACAGTGTAATATGCAACTTTATTTGCGAATCAATAGATTATACACTTAAGAGAATATTGATAAGAGAATATTTTCACTTCCAAAGTTGTATCACATACATTATTACACCTACTACGGACCAAGAAATGTCACGTTTTATGATGAGTCCTTAAGCTCTTGAAAGCCAGATAAAAAGCCATACGAATGACCGGGTATATTCCACTCCACAATGCAAGATTAAAATCATCACTCTGGGGATGTAGCTCAGTGGTACAGTGGTTCCCTAGCATGTCGAAGGCCCTGAGTTTGATTCCCTAGTGCCATCAAGAGAAAAGTATTCCAGATTCCATAGTGTGAAATAACCTGGTATGTGTTCAAGGAATAAAAAGGAGACCATGGGGACAAAATGTTAACTTCTATTAGGAAGCTGAGCACACAATTCCATGCAGGATACCTGGGGAGATGGCTTTGTGAGCAAAGGCACTTGCTGCCAACTCCGAAGACCTGAGTTCAATTCCCAGACCCACAAGATGGAAGGTGAGAAGCATCTCCCACTAGTTGTCTCTGACATGCAGACTATAGTGAGGCATGCCTGGCCCTCGTCCTACACAAGGATGAGAGGCCCTGGTGAGGTGGCTCAGTGGGTAAGGTGCTTCCAAGTCACCATGAGGGCTGGAGTTTGGATGGCTAGTGCGGTCTATTTCAGTGTAAGGCACACTCTGAGCACATCACTTTCTCTAAATGACCTTTAAGGAGAAAAGTTATAGATCTGATGAGATGGCTCAGCAGATCAGGCCACGCCCCCAACACACAACCACAATGAATGAGTGAATGAATGAATGAATGAATGTAATAAAACATTTTTTAAAGAGGGAAACTTACTTGGAAGTTATTGCTTAGTGGGGTAAGATCATTCCAAGAGTAAATGTAGTTATAAAAGCCCCAAAGAGGAGAAAAAAGTCTTATTTGTGTGGTCCAGTGCTTAGAACTCATTCTGATCTGCTGGCCTATGGCATGTAGACAACTTGCTTAGACTTTAAGCTGAGCCTGTTGCTGGCAGAGGTGGGAGCTGAGTCAGAATATTAAAAAACTTTACCTTCTTGACTTCCCAGGGACCAAGAATTATTTTAATGTGGATTGAATTATTTTAATGCCAGTTAATATAGGCGTCCAGTCTCCAGGTATTCATTGAGCGTGTGTTATGTGAGCATTTTATCCTGTTCATCATTGGGACTGCAAAAAGGTAAGGCTTAGGCAAGGTTGCAATCCAGGTGTGCATGACCTCCAGGCCTCAGCCCCAGCCACAGGCCTGGTCTTTGTTTCTTTCTTTCTTTGTTTCTTTCTCTCTCTCCCTCCCTCCCTCCCTCCATCCCTCCCTCCCTCCCTCCCTCTCTCTCTCCCTCCCTCCCTCCTTCTCTCTCTCTCTCTTTCTTTGTTTGTTTTTGTTTTTTATTTTCTTTCTAAGGGTCTCACTCAACTGCTCTGGCTGTCCTGGAACTCACTCTGGAGACCAGGCTGGCCTCAAACTCACAGAGATCCGCCTGCCTTTGCCTCCTGAGTGAGTGCTGGGATTAAAGGCAGGCACCTCAGCTACATTTTTAAACCAGAAAATAGACCTTGTGCTCCATGTTTTCTTCTGGTAGCAGGAGTTATTTAGAATTTAGTAACTTTTGTTTTTTGGAATTTTGTTCTGGTTACAAAAAATGACACAGATATATAATATGTATTTCCCTTTTCTTGAATGCCTTTAACTTTTGGAAGAGTTAGTTGATTTTTAAAAATATCTAGTAAAGGATACTATGTAGTGGGTGAGGCTGGGGGATCTATAGCTCATTGGTGCTTGGTAAGGAGCAAAAATGAGATCATAAGTTCAATTCTTAGCACAGAAAAACAATAATAAATTAATAATAATAACACAAGCGACAACGTGGACCGAGGACACAGCTCAGCAGGTAAAAGGACATGCAAGCCTGACACCTGAATTTGACCCCCAGAACCCACACAGAAAGCTGGATGTGGGGGGTGGTCAGCAAGATGGCTCAACAAGAAAAGGCACTTGCGGTCAAGCCTGACACCCTGAGATCTCTCCCCAGAACCCACATGGTGGAGGGAGAAGCAGCTCTCAGAAATTGTCCCCTGACCTCTCCATAGCTCGAGAGCACATACATGACCACCTCCACACACACATAAACACATGTAAAAATAAAAGACCGGATGTGGTGGACACATCTGCAATCCCAGCACTTCTACTGTGAGACCGGAGATGAGACAAGGAAATCAATCAGAAGCAATTCAGCGAGCTAGCCTGGAGTATGAAGCAGAGAGACCCTACCTCAACACAGCAGTAGATGAGAACCAACTCCCTAAAGTTGTCCTCTGAACAAATCAAATTGACGATGATGGTGACGAAGATGGCGGTGACAGAGATGTGACTGAAATCCTCCTGGCCACACAGTGTGAACGCTTGTCACCAACTCCTGCCCTATTTGACCTGGACTGATTCAGGATTGTGGTAATGGATGTGAATCAAGCCTCTCCCTAAAGAGATCCCAATGAATGGGTTTTAAATCTTGACCCTAATGAGATTTCTTCAATGGTGGAACTTTTTAAAAAGATAAGTAAGATGAATTATTGTAGAGGATCAGCCTACTATAGAGACAGCGCCTGCCACTGACTTAGAACGTTCTAAGTGTGCTCTAGTATAACAACCCAAGAGACAGGTTTTTTTTTTAGATTAAGAAAATGAAAGCTTGGGCTGGTGAGATGGCTCAGAGGTTAAGAGCACTGACTGTTCTT